TTTAAAAAAATATAAAAGGGCAGCAAAAAACAAAAGCCCCACGGGTTTCACTGGGAAAAAAAAAACACCTTAGTATCAAAATTTTCAAGCTGATCATGTAATTTTGAGGACCTGACTCAGATTTTGTTCTGTTTGTGGCGTGGATGATATTTGCACATCACAGGCATATTCCAAAAACTGACTAACACCTATAATTGGGTTAGGGATAAAAAATAGAAGAGCTATGGTCTTTTGGTAGAAACCAGCAAACCTCAACTTTGCTTTATTTCCAAAGTCAAAAATTAAAAAATGAAAGAGTCAAGTGAAATTTTCATAGGCAAACTATTTAAACCCTACAGAAGTGAAATCTCAACCCAACTGGAGTTGGTGGCAAAATTCCCATTGGTTTGACTGAGGCCAAATTCAGATCAACTCCCATGTTTGAGGGAGGAACAGAGAGATGCTCATACAAATAGAATAAATGCTCTTGCAAATTTATTCCCCCTCCCAAATCATCTGCTGAGACATAATTTCTCTACCTGTTGTTAAATTTACCACTATGTAAAAAAGGTACACTGCATGTAAAACCTGAGGCGACATAACCTGGTACTTGTGTGCTCCAAGCGAAACAGAGACTACCCTTCCTTTCACCTTTCAGTGTTTATTATATTGTCGAGCTAACGATTTCTAATTTCACAAAAAAAAACCCCAATACTAATTGCCCCCAACATTAATGTGATTTTTCCTCTTCGCCTCTTCTATTTCTCAAGATACTGGAAAGAAGTATGAAGATAATATAGCATGCAAATTAAATTCTACAAAAGCCCAGCCAAAAGGCTGCTTTAAAAAAGCAGTGGTATGCAAAGGCGAGGACAGCTCTGTCCTCTCAGCCTCCCCCAGTCTCACCCCGAAAATCTAAACCAAACCCAAATTCTTTTCTTGGCCGTGACTTAAAGGCAAGAGTTATTTTCTGTTTTGTCAACTGAGAACAAAAGTTTCCATCTTAGTAATTTCATTATTTCTACTCTCCAAACACACGTAGGTTAACTATCACACAACAAATCTCATTTCATCACATAAAAAAGTCAAGTGATGGGTTTCAATTGCAAGATACTGACTTGGCCATCCTAAATCTGTTTTCAGTCCAGTATCCAACTTTCAGCTCAATGCAACACATAACATTTACGTCTTTTAAAAAAATTGTATTTTTAGTATTGCCAAAACACACATGCACTTTTACTTTCTTGGGAGAAAATGTGTCTCTTGATTTGTTTCCAATTTGTGTGCTCTTGCCAGCAACTAAAATGCCTGAAGAGCCCAAATGAATAATCGTTAAGAGCATCAGCAATTAAAGCTGCAAATTTTAATCAATACATCTATTAATACATATATTTATCTAGGTCAGGAAAAATGTGCACATGTTCAAAATCCTAAGCATACCTGGCCTGTTAAATTATTTGTTTCACAGACTCAAGGAAATCTGATGTCTATGGCAAATATATCAAACATGCTTTAGTCCTTTTTCACTTCCAGTAATTTTTGTGGGGCTGATATTTTTTTATATTCTCTTCCCAACTGCTGGTTACTAAATCTATCCCTTAACTTTCAATTTTCTTTTGTTTGTGTCATCAGGCTGTGAAACTGGAGGTCACTGCCAAATATAAAGCACGGCAGTGTGAGATAGGCTCAAAATGTGAGTCATCGTGTATTTGGAGATTTTTTTTTTTCCCCAGCTATCAGCAGAGCACATCTCCACTCCTGTGTCCAAGTTCTTATACACTAAATATCTGAAAATTTGCTAAAAGCAGGTCTCCAGGTAGAGTTATCAAGGTCAAGAGACCCCAAGGATGATTTCTGGAAGCCATTGTCATGTCAATGCTACTGAAGGCACCGTGCCCCAGTGCAGCCAGTGGATGCTGGGATGTACTGAAGTACCGTGGCTATTTGATCAGTGAACAAAGAAAGAATATAGGAAATTATCCACGAGGCAGCAACAGATCAGCTACACAGTGTATATTAGATTAATTTTCCGCATCTGTTTGTGGCGGTGGGGTTCACATGACAAAACCTGCCAGCCAGCATCAAAGTGCTGCACCCGAGATGGAGGGAGTGCGTCCAGCCCCACGTGGGACCACACCAGCCTCCCCTCCCAGGGCGGGCAGGACCACGGAACATCTAGTTAGGAGAACCGGCACCCCGGGTGAACAGCATCCTCTCCCTCCTGTTTCATGCAAACACAGCTCCTCAGCACCCCTGTTTGGGAGCTTTGTGCCAGTGCCCTGGCCAAGCACAGCAGAGATAGCAATGCCTGTGGTATTCTTGCTATACACTTAGTCTGTCGGAAAAAAAAAAAAAACAGGTAACTGCTAACCACTGTGGCTATCGAATAAGACATCTATTTTTATAAACTAAGTGCAAAGATGACTCGGTTCATTATTTAAGCAAACTTTTGAAAAATGGGCACATTTCTACCACCCTTGACATTTATTCTACATACTGTCAGCAACGGGTATTGCCTCGTCAGTACGGCACCATCTGACTTCAGGGGGTGCGGGTGCTTGCATAGGTGCAGTTCTACCCAAAAATTCTACCCCCAGCAACACCATTTCCCTTCAGCAACAGATTTTCATTGCAGGGATGCACTCGGGGTGTGTTACATTCAAGAGGACTTCCAGTACGTTTAAGACCGCAAAAGCACCAGGAGTGAGGAGGGGGGAAAAAAAAAAAAGACTGGGCAGTCATCTGAATCAGTGAATGACAGGCTGGGCCAGCTCTCTGTATACATTAATAAATTAGAATTTTAATTGTGTCTCTGACTGCAGGAGCTGCTCCAGTACTTTAATACATACCAACAATTGGCTACGTTATGGAATCCGCGATGTGGCCTTCACTGTTGACCTCCGCAACACAATTCCCAGTCTGACTACGGAAACTGTTTGGTTTGATCCTTTCAACTTATTTGAATCCTGACAAATAAGCTCACAGCTGAAAGGTCAACACAGTCATATTTCATCCTCTGGAGCTATTCTTAAGACATCTGCACAACAAAGCACTTCTTTTAGTACCTGACACTGGACCTAGCCAGCACAATCTCTCATTAAAAATGTCCCCAGTGGAAGAGTCTATTAAAAGGCATATGGATCAGCTATGGATTTACCAAATAAAATATTTTTGAAAGCATTAATGTAACACTTTGGATTATGGTGCTCTACGCTGCCAATAAAACGTATATTTGCCCAATGACAAAATGCTTCATACTTTCCAAAAGAATAATAGCTCAGCTATAAAGTGTGAGGTGTTGTCCAGCAGACTGAGCACATGGGTGGGAGCCAGGAACTCATGAATCTTAATCCCACCTCTAAAACCAATTCCCTCTGTGATCCTAAGCAAGTCACTTAACCTGCTTCCCTTAGTTTCCCAGTCCAGAACCAGGATAATGCTACTTACTTATCAGACTTTCCTTCTGGGGATGTTTTGGAGATTAGTATTTGCAAAATGCTTTGAAGATGAAATCACTACACAAAGGCTAGAAGTTGTCCACGCTGGGCCAAGGGCTGCAGTTAATAGCTATTCCTCGCTCAGGCAAAATTTCCCTTGAAGTGCCCGCCAGCTTTATTTAGGTAAGAAACTCAGGATCGAGCCCTCCTGCTTTACTGTCAAGGCCTTCAGTGATGTTGGCTTTACCTTCCATATTCTACTACATATTTAAAGAGTCTAGGATCTGTATTTTTGGAGGAAAATAATCTGAAGCACATATAAAAGGCAAGAGAAGCAGCAATGCTGTCACGGAACTCATGGTGATAGTATATCAAACTGAAAAAAAAAATAGAAAGAGCAAAACAGACATGAGTTTGACAACGTGCTATGACAACAAGCAAAAAAAAAAAAAAAAACACCCGGAAAGAATTTGGGGCTACAGAGGCTGAGGCATCAGATATAGAAGAGCAAGATAAGATAAATGTCCCAGCTACAGGGTTTTGTGCGCCTGTAGCTGTGCTGTTGTATTCAGTAACTTATTATCAAAAACACAGTGACACGCTGCAATTGCAAAGAGAGCAATAATAAAAGCAATAACCAGCTGCAAACCAGCAAAGTGGTCAAGGGTCTAGAAGAGCCAGTTTACGAAATACATAAAGAACTAGATACATACAATTTGCCAAAACTGGCAAGTACATGTTAGTATCTCAGATGTTTGAGGAGTGTGAACACGAGGCAAGGCAAGGGACTGACTCAGTATTTATACAAGTAGTATTACTTGGAGCAAGAGGATGGAATTAAAGTGGAAAGTTCCTGAGCATGTGCTTTGTTATGGAAAAGTGTCCGAAGGAAAATAAGAGCGGTAAAACCACCACTTGGGATTTCTAACACTAGAATAACAACAAAAAACAAAACAAAAAAAAATAAAAAGGAAAATGTGATACATGACCTAATAGATCTTTCTTGTCTTTAACTCCCGTGACTTATCCCACAAGACTAGTAGAACGTACCCCAAAGCCGCGTATGTGTGCATATATCTTCTGTTTGGGAATGCTGTATTGGATTTAGCTTTCTGAATTCATAGCAGCACAAAGCCTGATAATATTTAGATTTCATTTCTGAAGATGTCCATAAATCAGCAGACGATAAAAGGGGAAAAAACACACTGATGATATGATATCCTAGTATTTCCTAATATCCTTGACACAGCAAATCAACGGTTTGAGTGAACACAGACTACAAATGGAACAGCAATCAAACAGAAATGTTAATGCAAATCTCCTATGCACACTGACACGGTAACAAAAGCTATTCCGTTTTGTCACGATCCAACCCTACCAGATGCTAATGAAAGTACATGCTCATGATTTGTAAATACGCCGTGGGTGGGATTTTCAAGAGCACCTAGCATCAGTCCTCACACCACAGCCGCACTGTGGACTTCATTGCAACGAAGCTCCTGAAGGTCCCATCCCAATGGTCTGAGATAAGACGCAATTGCTACAAGCCCCAGCCCCTCACGGAGGCACACAGGCTCCCCTTACCTGAAGGGCTGGCTGTTTGTCATTCCTCTTCGGAGACTTTAATCCACTAACTTGTTGTTGCTGCTGCTGCTGCTGCTGCTGCTGTTGCAGTAGAAGCTGCCGTGCCACCTGGAGAGCCTGCGAGGAAAGAGGTTTGAAAATTGAGTTTACAGCAGACAGGGTGTGGAGAGCTACATCCACGGCATAGGGCCAAGGCACCCCTTGGTCATGGGGTACCGCTCCACTCCCGAAACACCTCCACCAAGGAAAGCAGCAGCTTCCACAAAAGCCCACAACTCATCACTGTCATGCAGTGGGGTGATATCCCACTGACGGATTTCCTATTTTGACTAGGGAGAAAAACAGCAGCGCTCAAAGTTCAGCACCTGGGTGGGAGCCGAGAGTCACTGCAGGATTCCCAGGGGCAAGCACCATTCACCTGCTTTTGTCCCTGCCTGGAGCAGCTCATAACCCTCCTTGCTACCAGGCAGGCTCACGTGCTAATGGCTTTCCTGCTCCTCTTCTCCAGGGGGTCAGCTCTAGCTTTCAGAAGAGGGCAGTCGTATATCACTGTCTGCTCTCCTGAGCGCTTGAGAAAGTCAAGGAAGTTTCTGGAAGGCCATGGCGAGAGGAAGACGAGAGCCAGCAGCAGGAGGAGATGTGCCAAGTCCCAGAGGTACTGTGCTAGAAGCTGAGGAAGCTGCGAGGAGCTGGAGTGGATGCAACGAAAAGCGGGGATGGTATCTCACCCCCCCAAAACTAAGACCAACAGCAGGGACTCGGCCGGATGGGGTAGAGCAACAAATGGACAGTGCGGCTTCATGGGATGAAGGCACAAAGGACATGATCCCAAGAGCGTGAGCAGAGCATCACAGGGTGGCAGATAATTGCAAAGTTTGTGCAAAGCAAGGGGAAAGCATTCCTGGCCACTGGAGACAGCTGTTCCATGAGGCCTGATTTCTCCATCAGGTGGGGAATAGCAAGAGCAGATGAAACACAGGGGAAAGCAGGACAAGGAGCAAGTCCCTACCCCAGCTCCCTCCCAGTCCCCTAGCCAGGGGACCGCAGGGAAGAGGCTGGTCCCTGCAAGATGGGCTGTGGCACAGCTGAGGCTCTGCTGGGTGAGACCAGAGCCTGCTCCTCCCAGAGGATTCACCAGCGCCGGACTCGGGCTTTCTTGGTCTCCTTGGAGACGTTCAGTACATGTGTAGGTGGAAAAGTGGGAAGGCTGAAGACTTCATTAATGTAAAACAAGAAAAATAGTCCCTTTGCAAGATGCCTACACGGAAGGAGGGAAAAAGCCTTCCCCACTCCTACTGTATATGCTCTCTGAGTGATTTAATTAATACTTATTTAATTAAGGAGTCAGATACGCTTCGGGTTTCACTTCTTTAAGTTGCTAAGTGTTTCATCTCAGCTCAAAACTGCTGGGAAAGGTTTGACACCAAGGACTGCAAACTTGGATCTGCCACCTCCCAGTAAAACCTTGTTATTTGGTGGCCTAGACCCAGCCTTCTACTTTTGAAGGGACATCAGGCAGCCCGCGGGGGCTGAAGAATCACCGCTGCCGGCCAGCACGCCAGGGCAAGTGGGGAGAGGAGACCTTACCGCGTGCTGGCAACAAGCCCTCCTTTCCAATTTAGTAACAAGTCTCCACTGGATCAGAAAAACTCTTTAAGGGTGGATGCGATTTCCAACAGAGCTTGGTGCAATGAAGGGCAAATCAGATTTTGCATTTCAAACTGGTCCGAGCTCAGCACACCTGCAGCATCCCTAAAACAGTCCATGTCCCCACAAGGGGTGTGGGTTGCTGCCGTGCAGGGGCACACACCAGGACAGCCACGCATCTGTGCTCCCACACACACAACCGCCCTCGGTTCAGCGGCAAGAACCAGAAGACCCTACAGCCTACCAATTAACACAATGCAACAAAGGAAACCTTTATGCAGAAAGCACTAAGTACGGTTAAAAAAATGTTATTTTTATTGAATTAGCTTATTTAGCTGTTAAAGCATCTTCAAGGGTGGGCAGAGGCAGCAGAAATAAAACCTACAAGACTTAAGGGGATGGGCAACAAATACTCACCTACTTAACAGGGGTGTTGTGTGGCTTATTTAATTAATGAATACTTGTAAAGCACTCCGAGTTGCTCAGACAAGAAGCGCTATACAGTACAAGCGCAACATATTATTATATATTATTAAGACTGGCTCTGCAGAAGAATAATTCCAGGTAAATGTGCAATCAAATGATCATTTTAGTTCCCAGTAATTAGATTCAATAGGCCAAAAAAACCACAGAAGCCTTTCTTTAATCATACACTAAACAATCAGAACATCCCTAACCTTTCAAGCTACAGCCTTTTTGAATAAAACATCATCAACTTATAGATATTATTCCAAAAAGAACCAGTCACCATATGTGTTTTCTCTTTGAAATACAGTTGCTATAGCAGACCCTGCATGTATTTCATGTGATACGATCATATTCTATCCGTTCTGGCAGCTGAGAGGTTGCACAACTAAAATTGGCTGCCAGAAATTTTTGAAGATTCCCAGAACAAGTAGCCGTGCAAGAAATGCCTGCTTTCGACTCGAGCTGGCCACGAAACTCCGTCCAGCCTGGCAGAGTGGCCACTGCCACCAGGAACCCTTACCACAGCTGACCCCATGCCAACAAACATCTCTGCCCTCTGGCCAAGATCACCACAGCAAGGATCCAATGGAGCGAAGCCAGAGCTCTGTCCCTGCTCCAGTATCACCTGCACAGCACCCGCATCCCCGGACACCCACCCTCGTGCAGGGTCTCCACTTGAGGTGACGACTCCACCTCTCTGCTCTGTGTCCTTGCACCAAGACCTGGTGGGACCAGTGATGGCGAGAGGGAGGAACCACCAGGGAAGGTGGAGCAGGGCAGGAAGGAAAGGATTAAAAGAGAATGAGAGCAAAGAACGAGTTGGCTGGAGGGATCATCATGGATGCAAGGATCCAGGATGGACAGGAACAGCAAAGGGGGAAACAGAGGGGCAGGAGTGGGGGAGATGGCAGCAAGCTGACAGCTTGGGGGACTGCAGCTCGAAATGGCTTTTCCCATGTCCCTTCTCTCAAGATTTTGCTCTTCCGCTCATAAAAAACTGACAGCAATAAAAGCTGAGCATAAGATGAGCTTGGGTTTAAGATGCAGAAGGTTGTTTATAGCTCAGATTTGGTTCTTACTGAACATCTGCATCAAGTAGCTACTGCGTCCTTGGTGGTATGGCTGAACCCAGGGATTCCAAGTCCCTTCGCCTTTATACACTTCCCTGCTCAGTCTTTCCTCCCTCCCACCCCGGACCAAGAATTACCCCTGACATTTCAAAGTCTCATCCGTACTCCTTACACATGACAGGATGCACAGAAGAAAGATGGCTAGCTCAGTATGGGAAGCACCAGCCCTCTTTCCTCTTATATGCAAAGTATTTCAAGCTTATTTGGAGTGCTTTCATGAATTAATTTGCTGATGTCAGTTCAAGCCCGGTGGACATCTGCCCTCATTACGCCGGCACATCCCATTTAATCCAAGTCGACAAGCGCCGGACCTCTACCCCCTTCTCTGGTTCCACGCAGCAGCTGCTCCCGCGTGGAGCCCGTCGCTGGATGCCGGCGTGGGAGCCCCGCTGAGGCTGCCGATGCTGCACAGCACTCAAGCGACGATAGACAGGGAAATTAATCTGAGAGTGAAGTCAGTCCCACAACCTTCATCAGCACGGAGCTTCGCAAGCAGGCCTGTACATTAATAAAGCTTCCTGTGGGAGTAGATGTTGCCTTTGATTTGCATGTGAATTCAATGCTAGTGAGAAGTGCCAGACTGTCAGACATGGAGACCAAAGTCTCTTATCTTTCCAAAAGCTTCTGTAGCAGTTTCCCCACATTTCCTTAATCATCTGCCTTGTCCTCAACTTACTGAACAGGCAGTAGAGAGTAAAGCTGGACTCAGTTCAACTCCTGCTGCTGCCAAGTCCTGAAACAAGGGTGCCAGGACTGTTTACTGCTAGCCAACAGCTCTGCTAACGTGGCCCTCTCCTCACGAGCGGGTGCTCTGACATCTCCAAGCTCTTTTCACACATTCCTCCCCACTGCCATAGTTACATCCGAAATCTCCACCACGTGCTTGTACTTCTGCAAGTGAACAATCACCAGGGACCATGGTAAACCAGCTCGTGTTTGTGCATCCAGGCAACCGAGTTCTCCTTCACGGGACCGGCAGGTAGAGATGCCAAGAGCCCCTGAAACCACAGAACTGCTTCAGATATCTGGGACCATGCCTACCAGCAGCCACGTTATGTGCTGCCTATCTGTGCTGCTTGAAGAGCCTGCAAGCCTGGTCACAGCCGCTTAGGACAACCAGACCCACATGTCAATCCTGGCCTCCAGCAGTTCATCACCCAGCATCAGCAACTGTCCTCTCTGCACCCAATAGAAATAGGACATCTTCCCACCTACCGAAGGAAGAGGAAGAAAAGCATCCCCTAGCAAGCCCATCTTCTGAGTGCCACAGTCTTTGGTCGCTACCAATGGGGATTTGAAAGGACGACATCAGTAAAAGGCTCACTACCAACTGAGTCATCTTGATTCTGCTCAGTGCTATGTCTAAGTGCAAGATACAGTAAATGAACTCCCAAGCTATTTTCTTATCCATTAGGAAATCACCCAGAGATAAGGAGATTTTCTGGCGTAAAACGGAGACCAGTAAAAAGGCAACTGAAATGCTGTACCTTAGAGACACTGCACAAACTTGGAATGACATTTGGGAGCCAACGCTGGGTGACACCTAACCCAGGAAAAATTTTAACAGCACATTCAGTATGAGATGAATCAATTCTGTTTCATTCAAAGATGCCACAGAGTAAGTGGGAAGCCCCACCGAAAATCCCTCTCCCTGTGCTTAGGGAAGTGGCAACCACTTAATGTTTCTCAACTAGTTAAGCACTGGGGGGGAAGGGGAAAAAGTACACATCAGAGATGACCAAGACAATTTATTGCAAGATAGACAGAATGTGACTTGTTTGCCCAGCTGCTGTTTGCCCAGAACATCCGGCACTGTTATCACCCAAGTTACTGTTGTAATTTGGCATTTTCACGCAAGCGGCTCAATCTTTC